TAACATGCAACATGCACAGCCAAAAGCTCCAACTTGTATTGCCTTGATTTTCCTGCAGGGACTCCATTAGACTGGGGGCCAAAATGAGAGAATGATGACCTGTGATCCCACACTTTCATTTAGGAAGTATATTTCGTGCCTAATCAAGAAGGCAAGGTAGGCAGAGCTGACCATTTCTAAATGAACAATTAAATGAACTCTTCCACCTTACAGAAGAAGAATTAAATCAGGGGTTGCTATTAAAATGCCCACCAGAGGAAAAAAAATAATAAGAGGATTCCACACCACAAGGCAATCTGCTGGTAGAGTGATCAGCATACAGGGGGAGAGAACCAGAGATGGGCATGGGCTTTGTAAGCAGCCTTGGCTCTGCCTTGACAACAGAGCTGTGGGTGACAAGTAGGCATCAGTCTGAGCTGAACAGCTCTGATGTGGGCTTGAAAAGGGTAGGAATACCACTTCTCTAACTGGAACTGTAGAAAACTGCATTGGTAGGAGCCATACAGTCCATCCCTGCAGGTAGACGTGAGGCAGTTTCAATGGTGTCCCCTGGCATGGGGGGACCTGGCATGAGTAGCTGGAAGGACAAGTTGATGCATGTTGGCTTCTCTGAGACCCCCTTGGTGGCAGAGATCTGGGGAGGCTTTCCTAGATCACAGGATGGGGAAGCTCCCTGGTTTATCGGCTTGCCAGTTTTTGGATGACAGCTCCTCTTTTCTGACTAGGGAAACAGAAAGCAACTGGTGTTGCTGAGTCTGGGTAAAATCCCTTTGAGATTTTGCCTTGCCTTTCAGGCATAGAGATACTTAGCAGAGGGATACAGTATATCAAGATACAATAAGGCTCCACCTGTGCCACAGCATTCTTGCTCTTTCTGCTGGAAAGCACAGGCTGGATGCTGGGCTCGCTCTCTGCAACTGGCCAGTGACATCTTTCCACTTTCTGTCCACTGACCATGACTCAGTTCAGAAAATGTGAGCTGGGCTTATGTTGCGGGGTATCTATCGTATTGGTTAGGTTTGGTCAATAGAAAAAGCAGACACACACACACACACACACACACAGAGTTGAGACAAGAGTTGTCTGCCGCGTTAGCGCAGCAGCCTCCTTTATTGAGGCAGCTAACCCACATTTTCCCCACACACTTTCTGTAAACATAATTTTTACAAAACACCAGAGTACTAACACCTGCAATTGTGAACACAGCCAACATCCCTGTCCTTGCACATTCCATCCTGCTTATCATCTTTCCAGTCAACTCCCGGCTTCTCAAAACTGCTCTGTTTATGGGGATGGTTAATTAGCTTCTGCTGTCACGGGAACAGCCTTATATCATTCAATATATTATGTTCATCAAGCTCTAGGGGCTTAGCAGGCCTGCTGCCTCCCCCCACAGGCTTACAGCCTTCCTCTGTGTTCCTCTAAACCAAGAGCATGTCTTTCCAACCCCCAAAGGATTTCTGCACTCAAGCTTGGGAAAATGCCCATGGGAAGGGGGACTAACCATGCAGTAAAGGATGTTGGATAACATGCCCACCTTGGGTTTTAATTCACTGCTCCTGCTTGCAGCTTCTCCAGTCACTGACATCCTACTAGCATGTTTTTAACACATCTCTACCTTTTCTTGATCAGGACACCAATTTCTGGTGTTTCTTTGCTTGATACAGATGCTTCTGGAAAAGAACAAAATATCACTGAGAAAGAAATTACCATCATGGGAATTTTTTTCCCCTTTTTCCTTTTTACAGAAATTTCTTATTAATAACCTTCTCTTTTCATTTCACTTCAGGCCTTAAGTTGCTTGCCCTTGATGACCTAGTTCAGTTTAAGCCATGCTTGGTTTACAAATATGAAAATAGCAGGCACCTTACAGCTGCCTATAACAAACGATTATTACTTTTAGAAACAGACCTGTTACATTGTGGTGGGAAACATTCCCTTTTGCTCTTTTAACTGGTGAGGGGCAGCGGAATAGCCCAGTCAATGCTCACATGCACAGGGAGGGAGGTAATAGCGTCTCCTCCAAGAGGGCTGGCTGCGGCTCTTCCAGCACTGGTTTTGTACCCGTTGGGTGTGCCAAGAACCGGTGCACATTCAGATTACGGTGTCTGCCAGCCATCGGCTAAGCTTCTTTGCTCCTCCACCATTTTCATTTCACTCAGGGCAAAGAGACAAACATGAAGGCTGATGTGCTAGAGGCTCACTTTCAGGTCCCCTTTGGCAACAAGGAGTTGGTGAAAGGGGTGGTGGGGTGGATGTGAGAGAATTTATTTCTGGTTTAATAACCCTTCATTATAGCTAAGCCTTTTGCCTAAATGGCAATTTGGCTCCCATCTCCTGAACACTGCTCCCTTGCATTAGACTTTTTATAATAGCTGTAATTACAGTTGCAAGCTCTGCTTTTATTTTATGGGAGCTGAGGCAAACCTGTTCGATGTCACAAATGTTGATCCTCAAGTACAGCCACATCTGTGAGGCAGTGTCCCTGAACAGCGGGATCTGATGGATGAGTCACAGCAAAGACCTGCTGGTTTCCTCATTAGCCCTGCCTACTCTCAGGACTGATCTCTCTCACAGGTAATTTTAAGCAGCCATCCTGCTGCTCTCTTGCCTCTTCCTTTTGCCTCGGCTTGTCAGGATTAGACAGTTTAACCAGTGACCCCAGTTGTCATCAATCTCAATATTGAATGCACCAAGATAATACAGGCAATTCTCTGCTCTGTGAAGACAGGCATTTATGAAGTATTTGTGAAACCATTTTAGCTAAAGAAGACAGACAGCTCTATTTCATGCCTAATATTGCCTGACAGGTGTGGACACACCCTGGGATAACTCTCTTGTCATCCTGACTAGAAGGTCAAGAGTCTGCATTTGACAGAGAGAATTGCCTTTGGCACTCTGACAAAAAAATGAAAACACAGCAGCATCCAGAAAAAAAAAGCAACAAACCCCTTTGTAAACCAGATGTGCCAGATTTAACATTTCCCAGAGCTTAATTCCTTTTAAATTTTGTAGCTCCTCTTTGAAGATTATCCATGGCTAAACCAGAAAGTTTAGCTTTTGTTCTTCTATTAGCCATTATCAGCTTACTGTTTTAAACATCTCAGGCATGGCAGGTATTGGCTCTCTCTCCGCTACACTCCTCTTTTCTCCTTTCCTCCCCATCCAGCAACACCCATCTCCTTCTCTTTCTCCTCTCCTCCCCTCCCCTCCCTTCATTTTCATGCTTTCCCTGGGGATCTCTATGGAATACCACTCTGTGTTTCCCTGCCATGCCCAGAATGTATCAGAATTCCACTGTGGAAGAAGAGAGCAGGGGCTGGCCTCAGCAGCACTGCTCTGACCCCTTTGTGGCTTTGGGAGGAGACCCCAGTCCCACCAGGTTAAGAAGGGTGGGCTCCAACAGAAAGTTCACCAAAAGCTCAAGAGCTCATTAGTGGGGCTGTAAGACATAGTCTAATAGTCTAATCTCTTGGGCAGTGCACATTTCAGCGGCTAAATCTGAGCCCAGTCCATTGGCACATGTCAGACCCAGGAGCATAATTTCCTGCTGAGGTAGTAAAAACGCCTCATATACAAATTTTGTCTTGATTTTAATGAAAATGAGGTTTTATATTTGTTAGCAAAAAGTAGACACATTGTTGCTTCAAATTTGTGCAGAAGAGAGTTACATGTTAATAGCCAAGAATCAGATTATTTCTTTGCAAGGAGGAAGTGGGAATGAGTAATTTTTACCATGGGGTTTATGAGAAGAGCTTTGCCAGTGTATGCAGTAGATTTAGAAAAAAACTACTTGGGCTTTTCCTTCTCTTTTCCATAGCAAATGCTGCAAGTTACCGAACCCAACAGCAGCACTGCTGCTTCCACACTGAAAGGGCACATTCAGAGATGCTGCAGCAATCAGCCATGGCCAGCCCATACTTGTGGTCCCTTTTTGAGGCTAAGCTACTGCTGCTTTCAAAGGCTGGATGGTTTCCAGGAGGTTCACACAAATCCAGTCAGTGGAAGGGGGAAAGAGGGAGGAAACCTCAGTGTTTCCTTGCTTTCTTTTTAGTTCATGCTGCCTTGTCATACAAAACACTCGAGGCAGTGTAACTGGAAAGACCTCTGTGGAGAACAGAGCTGGAGGTAACCCTGCTCCGACTGGCTTGTGGCTGTGGAAATCCAGCTTCAGGTGGTGTCACTGGATGGTGCTGTACGGAAGGTTGCAGGAGCAGTTGGGTTTGCTGCTAATCTGAGGCTCAACAGCTTTTGTTTTCAAACTCATGATCTTTCTTTTAGACATGCAGAGCAATGTGCACGGAGTCTGTGGGCACCTGCAGGGCTCGGGCAGCAAGTCCTGTGTCTTGCCCCACATTCCTAGCTGTGGGCAGCCTTGGGGGAAATCTGAAAGCGCAGAGGAGTACAGGTGACAGCAGAGCACAAATGGGCACACCCAGCACTCACTGAAAACCAGGGACGGAAGAAGTTTGTTTGACAATGACCTGGCAAACCCACTATTCCACCAATGCTGCTTTAGGTAGTCCTTGCAGTTTGCTCTCCATTCCAATAACTTCCTCTTCTCCAGGGCCAAAGAATAAGAATTGAAGAAAAGAGGTGTCACACAGGCCAGGGTAAAGAGGGAATGGCTGGATCATCCCTCTTCTTGGGGGTCAAAGTTCCAAGAAAGACATCTCCAGGCTCCAAAGTGGGCAGCAGTACTTCACAGTTGGGGGTCCTCACACATCCTTGTCCTCATAGTCCCTTTCCCAGTCCACTTTCCATGGCCTGTCAGGATTTTATTTCACACTGTTTAACCATTACAGCCCCCAGCATTCAGTTTTTCCCATAGTGCTGCATTAATCTTTCAATAGATCTGGTCCTTTATTCACCATTTAAGAAGATTTGTGAGCATTTTACTGCTCTTGTTTTACAAAAACATCCCTCTTTGTGCTGAGGTGAGATTATTTGCACTGGATCCCTGTGCAGTTCTGGGAGAGAGGTGTAGATTCCTGCCTGTGAGCACAGCAGATTCTCTCCGGATTCAACTGGCAACATGCGTACCAGTCAAGGAGAGCACTGCTTTATACCATGGGCATTCTCCACCCTGTGTCCAGTTCTGGGTTGTACTGTGGCCATGGCTGCGTGTCTTGGCAGTGCAGGTGTATTCCTGATGTGTGTGAAGCATTGCCAAGGACAGGCAAGACAGAGTCTCTTGCCCACAGGCAATCTTGATGGCAAGAGAGATATGTAAGTTCTGCAGAGCTGGTCTTCAGCAGCACCTGGTTCACCCCTTCATCAGTCAGCCCTTCTCAGCAGAACTGCAGGCTGTAGCTGTTGCATTCAGACCCTATCATGGCTTAGGTTGAGGAGGAGCTGGAGTTCATCCCTGCAAAGGGTCTGGGAAAGCAAGATTTGTGTAAGTTTTGAGGGCTTTTCTTTCTAGAAGTAGCTATACAAAATCAATCACTGGTGTACATATACCCTTAGGAGACTTCATAACAGCAACATCCCTGCAATGTTCCCCCTCCTTTCAACAACAATGGAAACTGTGGCTCCAGGACACAGCAAGCACAGGACGTAGCTCACCACGCAGGACCTGTCTGCTGTTCACCACATGACCAGATCATGCTCTTGGTGCTAGTTGCCTTTCCAAGATAAAGGCAATGAAAGTACACAGCTGATTTTGAGATACCATGTGGTCACTAAAATGTAATTTCATTATTTTTTGAATTATCAGTAGAACAGGTGAAGGGCCAGTACAGCACCAGAGCAGCCGCAGAGGGTGGGGAGGGCGTGTCTTGGCTCTGCCAGCTGCAGGTTGGCATGACTTCCAGCACCAACCCAGAGAGCAGACCAAGTGCACTGACGTTACTGTGAGAAAGTCTGCAAACAACAAAAGAAAAATTTAACCAAGTATTTACCAAGTGTCATTAATTCATTGCCAAAGTTGTTTCTCTGAGTCTTAGTGGAATCCAAATGGAAAAGCCCATCCTTTTGTAAATCACCATACTTAATAACCTGCGGCCTCGGCCATGGCTACCCTGGGAACATGTGCTTGGAGAGCACCTGGCAGCTTGCTCTGAGCAGGCAGGAACACAGTCTTCCTTCCAGCCTGTGGGTACAGGGTAGGGGAAACTCCAGGAGAACCCAATCCTGGTTTGCAGGAGACAGCCATCAGTTTTACAGCTTAAGAAGGCAGGTTACTTGCAGTAAAGCCATGCAGCAGAGTTCAAACAGCCAGCATTTTTAGATCTCCTCATATGGATAAATTAATAAAACATCAAATTAATTTAGCTAGAAATAGGAGAGCAATCACAAGCCAAAGTTTACCACAATGATTTGCATTACAGTAACAAACATGAAGCTTAATCATAGCTGTACATCTCTATTTCCCCACAGAAAATGCTATGCCTTCTTCTCATCATGGGTAGCTCATAAGTGGTTGTGCTTGGAAATAATGCTGGTTTTCCCCTACTAATGAAATCCCAGTTTAATCCCACGTGCTCTGTTCAACAGTGCACATTTCATCCCATGGGGTAACCCTGGCACAAAGAACATTGTGCCAGATTCCCCCAGGTGCAAATGGGCACAGCTCCTTTCCAGTCAGTGGAGCAACCAACCTGGTGTTGCTTACGTAATGTTTGCTGACTGCAAAGAGCACAGTCTCTCAGGGATGTGTAACTAACTCAGGAATCAGAAAAACATTTCTGTTAAAATTAGCTGGTGTACTCAGTAGTATCTGGCTGAGGGGGATAAGAGCATTCCTTTCTCACTACATAAAAACTTCTTCACTGAATTCATTAATCATTCTTATCAGCATCCCTTTTGTTCCTGGGCTATAAGACTATTTGAACTAAAAGCTTCTCAAGTCCAAATCCATTCCAAGTGATGAGTATCTTCAAGGTCATAAATTAACGCAAGCAATTGCTACATTATCTACATGAAAGTCTTCAGTGGAGAAGTGACCCTGAGAGAGAGAGAATAACATTTGTCTGACCTCTTTGCAACCTGCTAGGCAGGTAAAGATCCTATAAACAGGCAATTTAGTAGTAGATAGAGAAAAATTAGCATTTTCCTTGTTATAAAGAGGGTGGTGGTTGAAAACCAGACTAAAATATCTTTACTTTGCTTTTTAGCCTCCTAATGTTGGCCCACAGAGAAAGCATTGTACGGAAAACGAACTAGTGAGCATTCTGATATCTTCAAGTGCATTTCTAACTTCCTTTATCTGTGATTATCATATACATTTTGATATTTACTGCAGCTGTTTGTTCTGTCACTTGTGGACTATTTTGAGAGAGCAATTCATTACTGAGCACATATGCCCAAGTATCAAGCTTCCAGGATATGCTGAGGTGGGATTCCTTGATGTCAGTTATGAAACAGAGGATATATGTACCACTATACATACATGTATATATATGTACATGTGTGCTTATGCCAGGCTTACAGCTACTGAGACTGGAGGGATGGGGCACTGGCTGCTGTGAAGCAGTTACATGGTTCTACTTACATTTTAGGGCTGAAACAGGCATTTGGAATCCCCCTGGCTGAGGGTGCAAGGCAGCCACCCCTACCAAAAACAGGTGGCAAGAAGATTTCCATGATGACATCATGAAATCAAACCATGAAGAAAAATCAGGCTAAGTTCATCCCATGCTGCAGGCTAATGGAGTATCTTCAGAGTGGGACAGAGAACTGAAATATAAGGGGGTTTATCCTCATTTAGATAGTCACTGTTGTTTTACTGCAATTTATTTATTTCACTGGTATACATAGGTGTGTGTACAAACACGTATGCATATATAAAAGCTAGATAAAGAGAACCACCTGGATTCAATACATTTCATGTAATTACTTATTAAAATAGCTTGGGAAATGAATAATTGAAATACTGGTTCGCAAAAAAAAAAAAAATGAAAAACCCAAATATTTTTACAAGTTCAAGCTTTTCCATTACCTACTTTAAAATATTAAAAACCCCACAGTAATTGCTAAAGAGTGCAGATCAGACAGAAAAGCGAAACTTTTGTATGCAAAATGGTTTACATGGAGAAAGCACGTGCACGCTCCAAAGTAAAAACACTGTTAGACTTTTAGAAAGATTAATTGGAATTTCAGCCTCAAGGTCAGCTTTGAATATCCCAATGGAATCAGATACTTCTTATCAACTCCTAAATGCAGGCAAAAAAATGTCAGCTACATGTTTTAATTTACTTTCTAAGGATAAATTTCCAGCTCACAGATCTTCCCATCCCACTGGCAAGTTCAGACAATGGTAACCAGCATGCATACTTAACATAGTTTTGCATTAATACAACACATCCTATAAGCATAGCCATACAAACTTTCTTGCCTTTTCACAGTATCATGTTACCCAGCAAGTCATCTAGAGATTTGGCAAGGAAATTTGACATAATTTTCTTGAAAAACACTAGAATAAAATATTTCCATTCTTTTCAGGTGAGGGAAGTTATACTGTCTTGGATAAATCTTTGGGGTATTTTAAAGTTCTATTTAAATACATAAATACCTGGGTTTACTTATCCAACACTTACCATCTCTTTGGCAGAAAAATTGCAACACCGAGACATGTAGAGTTTTATTTTTCTAAAATCTCGCTCATTCCTATTAGTACTTGCAACATATATTCCTTACTCACCTCCCCCCAGATTAAAACTGTTTCTATCAAGGTTCACAAAGGCTGCTGTCCCCAGTCCTGCTGCTCTGCCCAGTCACAGTGCCCACCAGTTTCTGCAGGATAAACAAAGACAAGTCTCAGAGCTGTGTTAGGATTGGAAACTTCTATGAGTCCTGCACCATACCTCGGTATTTCCACAGCAAGAGGGTGCATATGCACTCCCCTATGTGGGACAGTGCCAAGAAGTATTCTCTCCTAGTCTGAGGCTAAGGGAATTAGAGCAGGCTTTAATCATGGAAATCCATGGGCACAATCTCATAGGAGGTCCCAACACAATCTGCTGTAGAAACAAAGTAAGGGTTTTCCCAGGAGTGCTTTGTCCTGAACAAACAGAAAGCTAAGGTATGTCTGGTGTCCGAGATGCCAAGGACATTTCAGCCATAGAGTTCTGGGGTCTACGATAGGCAGCAGACCAATTAGTTCCCTGACTAATTGCAGAAGTTCATTCTAGAGGAAACTTGCAGAGCTTTTTGAGAAAAAAATTTATTAAGAAACACAATAACATAAGGAGATCAAACAGACAGTCACAGTGACTCCTGAAAGCCAGTACCTATTTGCACAGACAAATGAGCAAGCAGGAAGGTCACTGCCTGAGTGTGAATCACAGAATCACAGATTATGCCGAGTTGGAAGGGACCCACAAGGATCATTGAGTCCAGCCCTTAGCCCTGCATGGGACCATCCCCAAGAGTCACACCATGTGCCCAAGAGTATCATCCAAATGCTTCTTGAACTTTCAGGCTTGTGCTCCCACTTCCCTGGGGAACCTGTTCCAGTGCCCAACCACCCTCTGGGGGAAGAACCTCTTTCTCATATCCAACCTGAACCTCTACTGACACAACTTCAGGCCACTTGAAGGGAACTTTCAAACAATCTTCTTGAAAAGCAGAGAGCTTGCTCCTGTCGAGCCCTCTCTGCCAGGAAGGGGAAAGGCAGTCAGTCCCAGTCTGCATGGATGGCATCCTTGCCAGTAGAGAGAGATAGCTGATACCCAAAGGCAGAGCAGAACAGCTGGGATAAGTTTTGACCAGTTTGCATAACTAGGGAGCAGTCTGTATCTATGTTACCTGAAGTCACCTCTGCGTGTTTTTACAAAGCACACAGGTGTAGCCCAGCATGCTAGCCCTTAAATTTAGCAGGATTAAACAGGTCCTAGGTGGCATTTAACACTCCCACTAGGTTTGTTCATCCCTAGGTTTTACTCTAGCAGAAACCTCAAAGCAGATGAAACTGTTTTTCCTTTTATCTAGTTCATCATACTGCAGTACCCAGAACCATTCCTGCAGAGAGCTCTAAAGAACCTATTCTCCAAAATTATTTTACACGTTGCATAATCTTATTTTGTGAACTGTCTTTAAGCACTACGATTAATTGGGATATACACTATTTTTTATCGACAACACAACTCACAGCTACTCAACAACCATGGTCCTTGTGAGGTAAGAAGTGTTACAATCAGGAACTATTTTACAACCCAGTGTGGTGAGGCAATGGGACAAACCTACAAGGTGAGTAGGAGCTGCCTCGGTAGCCTATCAAGCCAAGTGTCTGTCAGGGCACACCTGCTATGCTGAGATGCAAAACACGCTGCATAGTCATCATGAATCTGAGAAAGCTGAACACACTCAGTCACAAGTCCTGCACAGTTCTCCATCCTCCACTTCGGTTAACCCTGCAACAAGCCTCATCCTTGGAATAAAGAAGAGATTGCTACTCAGCCCTACTTCCCTACTGGGAAGGTAGTTTGGGGTAAGATACCCAAGTTCACCATTGCTCCCCTGAGCCTAACTTCTTCACTGAAATGACATGAAGGAGCAGGAGCCCATTGTTTTTAGAAAATGAAGCAAAGGAGGTTTGAGGAGTAAGGTGCTTTTGAGATGTTTTTTTACTTCTTCATTTGTAAGTAACATACAGTAACCTCAAACCTGAAGGAGGGTCCTAACTGAAGTGTTCTTACTCAGGAACTGCTAATCCCCCAGGTGAAGGTAGAGAAAGCATGAAGAGAAACAACTGGTTCATTAGGACATGATAAAAGGAAGCTGGTAGAACCTCCAAAGCCCCTGTATAAATCAACAATCTGAGAATACTTCATGCAAGACCCTAAAAATGAATTTGAAATGAAAATCTTTTAATCCTTCACTTTTCTTTAACTTCTTATAAATAGAGTTCAGTGGTTGGAAGCAATTCTTTGCTCCAGATTTTGCTGTAGCCAGATCAGAGATGAGGGGAAATGTCCCATCTCAGTGCACGAGAGGGGAAGCACATGTTCTTCCCCTCTCATAGGCCAAGTAGCACAAAAGGGGAGGAAACGGTAGTGCTGGGGCTAAGTCTCCAGCTCAGTAGCAGTCTGGACATGTTAATCTCAATCTTTTTTCCCTGAGAGCTATTTTTAAATTATTTTCTAAGTAGCTTCTCTTTCTTTGATACTTAATTAGTTCCAATTAAAATAGAGTACATTTAAGTAATATACATTGAAGTTTGATGAGCAACATTCAAAATACAGTAAATAATAAAAAAAAATTGCGCTTACACTGAAATATATGTGCCCTTTTTATTTCCTTGTGACTTCCAAAGGGATTTGGGTTATGAATCACAAACATTCCCCTCAGCATTAGGGTTTTATGAGTCAGAAAGATAGTCATCATTAATCACTTCTCTAGCATTTTTAACAAGGTGGTTCCTGCTTGTTGAATGTTTTCATTCACATCAGTCATTTACATAGCATAAAAGGTATGCCTAGCACTTTAGAGACAACTAAGACAAAAATCTTTACTTTGTATTGTTTATGGCTATAGTAAGATCACACAAAATAAGAAAAGATTCCCTTTGTGAATGAAAAAAAATAGGAATCGTAACGATGGCAAAGTATTTTTTTTCATGCTGTGAGATATATTTGCATTTCTGTATTTCCATATCATTTTTATGTAGTTCCTACCTTTACTACTCACCATTTTAAGCAGGAAGCTATTTATTGTCTTCATTTAAGACTTCAGTATTATTGTAACCATGAAAGTGTTTCATGCTATCTCCCCTCTGAAAGGAATACAAATCACTGTTTCAGTGTTAGACACTTTTGGGGTTGAGGGAAGGCACCCCAGTTCTCCACCAAACACTTAAAAGACATGCTGATGCAAGTAGTTTAAGAAGCAGTAACGGAGGTGCCAGAGATGCTGTAACCCGACTGGCTACTTAAAAAAATTATCTGGAAATGAAATACATTTTCCACTCTTAAAAAAAAGAGAGATAAGACACCTATTCCATGACTGCCACTTAGTTCAGTATATTTAAGCAAAGAATAAGGAAGGTTTCATTTCTTTTTCCTAGCACAGTTTATCAGTCACCTTCTTATCCTCCTCTACACAATGAAAAAAACCCTCATAATATAACTACATCTGCACTCCATGAAAAAAACTGTATATGCTCACATGTTTTTTCAGGACTTCACTCATGCTTTCCTCTGAGTATCACAGCTGTGATTTTGGACTTCAGTGCCACAGATGAATGAATCAGCCCACAAGAGAGACTAGAGTTATGAAACCACTGTGAAAACAATGCAATTAAGGACACGGTTTCAGCAGTACTCTGTCACAAGCTGTTTATTAGAACTTCACTTTGACAATAAATAAGGTATTTCCCAAGCAATCAAAATGTAATTATTTAGAAAGTTAAACAATGCAAGTTTTCACAATGCAATTTTTAATATATACATAATTTACTGTATTTTAAACACCAGTTCATCTGGAGCTGTACAACAGTAGGATGTCTATTTTTTAAATTCACACAGCAGAAGACTACCAAGACATGTCTTTCATCTGGAAGCTGTGTGTGTAAAAATAATTGCAAACCATATCAGCTTCAGGTTGGATAGTCCAACTGTTAAGAACAAATCCCTCTGTTCATTAGACCAGCTGCTGAATTCCAATTTGAATGTATGGCTTACCCAGGAGAAACTGTGGCTTTTTAAAGTTACAGTTTTAAAGGATAAATAGGCTGCTCAATTCCAACAGTATGATGCAACCATTTGTAGTTTACAGTGCTACTGCACAACCTATTCTGCTCTCTAGACTAGTGGCACAGGGCAAACTTCTGTAAAGAATGATCATTTTCATTGTTGTATGTCTCCAATAGTAAGTACAAACTTTGCACTTAAACTATGTACTGTTAACTATGAAAACATCTTTCAGTTTTGGTCACATGAATTAGCATTTCTTCACTTAAATACTCAAGACATTTAATATGCCTAAATAATGCTTTTCAGAGTTTGACATTCAAAATTAACTTCAAAAGAATGTTCCTGTTAAATAAAGCACCAAGATTTCCCCATATGTTTATTCCTTAAAGAAAGTCTGTGAAATATTAGCTTTTTTTTTTTTTACACATTAGTTCTGTTAAGCATTGTAATTTTAAAATAAAATTTAATTCTTATGGTTTGATCACAGCCATATTTCCAAAGTAAGTTTTACTTATTCTGTGCAACATCCCATTTTCTTTAAGTGCAGAGGTACAGGTCTCAAAGTTATGCAGCTGCAATCGAGTTATCATCTGCTTGACGACCCTGAGGCTTTAAGAAAATAAAGACAGAGAATTAAAAAAAACCCAAACCACCCAAACAACTCCCCCCCCAAAAAACCAAATACCAAACAGAAAAGGCTAAGGCTACTAGGAAACTAACTTTGCAATACACTGTGTTATCAATGTAGCTCTGGTACACAAGTGTAGCATTAAGCTTATCCTGACTTCTAAACGTTTCCATAGCAGCAGAAACACAGAGGACATCCAGTTGAAATTTCAGTTTGGCCCAGTGAGTACTTGGTAGAGGCTTCAGCTCTTTAACTGCCCTGTTAAATGCCTTCTCCATACACATCTGGACAGCTTAGCACAAGGCCCAGCTGATCAGAGTTTTGATCTTTATTGCAGGACAGAAAGCTGAAAATTATCAGTGCATAAAACAGGAATGAGACTGACAGTTTCTTGGAGGAATTTTAAGCAACATCACTAGAGATGGGAGAGAGCAAGGAGGAAGTTTTAAAGAAAAGGCATCCATCAATAAGCTTTTCTGAGGTCTTGACAATTCCAAAGCAAAATCAAAGAATTCTGAAGCCTGAAAGAGTCCACAGGAGTGTTCTGAACACCATGCTTTTGAGGGTAAATGCCTTTCAATTTACTTAGGGGGACACCTTGACAATCAATTTTTACCTGTAAAAAGTAAGTTCTGCCTATCTGTTTTTGTTAAAACAAAATTGAAAGAATGGCAGGCCTGTTTCCTAGAAACATGATTAAAGATGTCTGGACAAGTCTATCTCAAATCATACAAACTCTTCAGGTTCCTTCGTTGTTAAGAGTCTGAATAAAAAGTGAAAATATTCTGGAGACAGCAGCAGTGGAATGAGGAAGCATTGTTTTAGGCAATTGAATTTAAATGATTCTTAAAAAGTCAAAAGACCACCGTGATCTGTTTTTCATGGCATGAGTGAACTGTCTTCAGTTATATCACTTATGAAAAAAATCTAGACTGAGTGATTCACTGACAAAGTATTTCATTATATTTAGCTCACTCCACTATGCTCAACATAGAGGAAACTTTAAAACTCATTTAACAGAGTAAGACATGGAACAAAACAACAGGGAAAGGACCAGCACGTTCAGCTTGTTCACCTAGCGGCAACCAAATATGCATTGCACTGAAACAGACTTCCTGAAGATTTTGGTTGACAACACCAAGGCACAACACGAGATTTTTCAAAGCAAGTAACTGTTACAAGGTGGCTGTTTTAGTCTGCTTGGAAACACTCAGCTTGAACAGAGCTGGAATTGTCGTCCCCCAAAACCTGAGGAGCCCCAAGGAGAGCCTTTAAACACAGGTCACTTCCCACAGCCTCACCTTTACAAAAATGTGTGTCGGGATGAATCGTCTGAGCAACTGATTGGTGAAGTTTGGGAATCGCATCAAGTTAACGTGAATAGAAGGTAACTGCTGATATCCAGCCATCAGAGGATAGAAGTTATATAACATTTCCTGCTCCATGCCAGGAAGGATTCTTAATCGAATCTTAAAAAAAAAAAAGAAAGCCACAAATATACGTGTTCTGTGTCTAAAAGCAGTCCTCTGGTTACTTTCTACTTATACAATGGTTACTTTCTGAAGCTGGAGAGAATGTAAATAATTGCCTATTCTAATTTAAACTATTGCTTCTACACTGAAACACCATGTTACCTATAAACAACATGACAAACAGCTCCTAGTCAGACTTCCATTTAGCCCTTTTTCAAAGGGAATCTGCATCTCCATATTCTTCCAGACAGAATTTACCGTACTTTAAACACCTAAAAACCAATGAGTTTGTCCTCTCTGCACATCAGCAGAAGTCTAATCAATGTATTCTTCACTACCAGAGAAGCCAGCAAGACCAGTAGATGTGACAGTTTTGTACCTGTTTAAGGCCAGAGAACATGAAGGCATCACTGGGTTCCACGGACACCTCCACATCCTGGACTAAGTTGGTCTTATTTCGCAGGTGATACCTGACAGGTAAGGATTCTCGGACTCGACCGAATGATGGCAGATCTTCAGAAAAAAAGTAAGAAATCTCAAATACAAAGTGCATTTCAAGTTCCATTAAAAAAAGAAAAAAAAAGTCTATTGCAAAAAGCCGTGAAAAGTTTGAAGAAAAAAGATATAATAACTAGGCATCTAAAGCATTTCTGACAATTTTTTTAAGAAACAGATTAAAGAACAGAACACAACTTCATTACAATTTTCCAGTAACACTTCAACATCTAGTTACAAACCTCCTAACTGCTAACACTGCCTAAGAATAATAACTAGGAAGTCACTTTGGCTGCTGCTGGGTATTTTCAGCTTACCAAAATCTAATCAGATACTGTCAAGAAGCTCCTTTAAAATACAGGATAGGGTGGTAGAAGAATCTCAGTAAAAATGAAGCCAAACCAAGGAAAGTATCAGAATTATGTGTGTTCAGTGAGCATTTCAGTACCCCTCTGTTCTTGTGCAGGTGAAGTGCTAGAAGAGAAACAGTTCACCTGCCTACAAGCATCTTCAGCTCTCTAGGCTACTTCTTTCCTGGGATGCAGCCAGGGTGGGCGTGGATGGAACAATTGTCACCATAGGCATCTAGAGAAACCTACTGGGAAGGTAGCATCAGCACAGGTAAGTCCAGCCTCTGTGCTGCCATGTAATAAAGGTCAATCCATTGACAGCTTTTAGGAGAAAATATTCATGTAACTAGCTTCCTGTTCTTCCCTTCGAGGGGGAAAAGCAGGTCACGGCTTGAGGCAGTCTGAGTGATGATATGGTTTATTTCACTAGCCCCATAATATCCAGCATCAGTTTTCTGTCTTTTGCTACAGTCAATGCAAGCTCTGGGTTCTGTAAAAAATTTTGGCAGTCCTAAAAATTCTAACTGGGACATATATGTTGCCAAATTAATATTACCTGCATTAACATGGAGGGGAATGCTCTCTACAATCACGTGTGGTAGAGTGATGACTGTGCTAACAACAGGTACACTTTCCACAGGTGAACTTCTGCAGGAAAAAGTCAAATGCAGACCATGTTGAATATTATACAACATAAAGTATCAAGCAAGTACACCAAAAGAATATCATTATATGTGGCTAAATTAATATTTCAGTAACTTCAAATAAATTAGTAGTTTCAGTGGTGGAAAGAAAAAACAGAAATACACAAGTATTTCATGACTGGAGAAGACAGGGAGTAGAAGGTGACAAAATAGCTTTGTAATTGATCTAAGATCTTCCATGAAGCTTTCTTCTTTCTAATGCTAAAACCATAATCCTATATTTATCTCTTAAGTGAAATATGGATTTATCAAAAGTCTAACTAACTAATCAGTAATTAGTAAGGTCCAAAGTCTTGCTACAGAAAGATCCAAAGGTTTTTTTTGCTTTTTTGCACTTCCACCCCCCTCCAAAGAAAAACCAAATCAACAATTCACTATCATCCCTAAGAACAAATCAGCTTACTTCATCTCCCCATC